TACTCGACTACTACTAACACTAATAATTAATATCCTACATGATGCTTAGATATCTTAATAATTTTCTTGAAAATGGTTTACTCTTTTCTTCCAACTCCCCATTTCAAGTTTTCAACGACTAGGACTACTCCACTTGTCCAATACAAAGAGATATGTGACTGACTATTGTGTGTTTCTTGAAAATTCACTCATTTAGACATTCATGTTCATCATCTCAAACCAGCATTACTCTATTGTGATAGTCAATCCACAATCTACACTACGAATAAAGCAAACCTCCATGAGAGAACCAAACACATTAAATTGGATTGTCATTTACTTGGTACGAGAGAAGGTTGTTAACCATACTGTCAAGTTGCTTCATGTTCGAGCATATCATCAACTTGCATAAATCCGTAACAAAGCATGCATAAAGGAGGAGAAGGGCAGCACACCCTTTCTCACTCTGTGATTTCCAAAACTCATTTACTCAATATTGCATATTATTGAAATCACCATATCAAGTTTTCCAGAAAATTAATAAGTCATTCAAAATTCGTCTTGAAACAACAATAGAAAAGAGCAGAATGCGCGAAAGTGCTCTTTAGAAGAAAAAAATCTCTCCATGTCAATGATGTTGCTGTTAATACCAAAATAGACATCAAAGTGATACTTAATTTAGGGTCAAGTTTCCTCTTACACAAGATAAAACTCTTTATACTACTTCAACTTCGCTTGGCATCGCGGGGATGCAAATTCGAGGAAAGTGAAAATTGATATATAAATTATAGGGAGTAAAATTTAAAGGGGGGGTGCAAATTGAGGAATAAATTATTGTTTGGAAAAAAAAAGTAAGTGGGTGCAAAATGAAGTGTGTTATATGAATTAAAATATAAAAATATTTATTATTGTTAAGAACTTAAAGCAAAAAATAATCTGGCCCCACCTCATTCCTTTTTCTTTTTTTCCATTCACACTTCATGGATCCACTTATTCCTCATCCATCCATCATTTCCTTTCTCTTTTCTCCACTTCCGTTTGCACCTCAATTTGAGGGGAAGCTGAAATAGTATATTCCCCCAATTTGTCCAACCAACCAACCCCCCCCCCCCCCCCCCACCCCACAAACTTTTGCACCCTTCTCCATTTCCTCTTCCTCCTCCCAAACATATGTATGCAATAGACACACATATGCACCAACTGACTAGTAACGAGTTTCCTACAATTACAAACACTTTTCTATGGTATATGCACTCATCCTCCATTTTGAGGAAAACAAAAATCTCCACCTCCTTTTTACCCTACAAAGTAAAAACCAACCAATTACTAAGCAACACTTTATTGTTTCGTTAATGGTTCCAATTCTTGATGTACCTCATCGAGTGGGATACGCATCGTCCAACGCCAAGACTCTTTGCACCAAACTCTCAGACAACTTAGCGTCTTTTTTCTTTTGCTCCACCTGTACTCGCAAGATAAAGGGAATAAACTTTTCATTTTTAGTGTAAAAATACAATATAGTCAATGAAAAAAGAAATGTAAATTAATAATGTAACTTCCACGTTTTCTTGTTTACGACTGGGATCCAAGACACATCTTTCTTTTACTAGTGTACCTTAGTGTTGTTGCACAACAAAGAGCAACATATGATTATGTTCAAGTCTTACCAAACCTTTTCAATTAGTCATACAGTAATATTTTTGCTTCTTACCCTCAAATAGTCCGGATTCTCTCAACCATAAGATGATAATAGCAACGTATTTATTTCAGCTGTGTTGATTTCAACCCATCTTATAGTTCCAAATGATCAGCACCATTAATTAACATATTCATCTCATTTATAGTCCATCTAATTCTATCACACTTCACATTTCTCATGTTGCCGCTCTTTTTAGATTTACTTCGTGCCTTTTATACTATTATTGTCAGTCTTGTTAACCATTGACAATGATGAATTCCTCGATAATACTGATCCTCAGGCTTCACAAATATAGACAAAGAAGAATATTATAATACTACAGAAACATATATGCATAAACTTTTAAATAAAAATATCAATACAAAACCTTCAGTAATGAACCTAGCCTTTAAACTCGGCTTTAATAGTACTATTACTAACCCCATGATCTTGTATCTAATCTACCCTCTTAACACAACTCCTATATTGGTTTTTCTAAGAAAAATGTGTAATTTAGCAAAATATCAACAAAATAAGTACAATTGAAAAACTATTAACCCCATGATTTTGTAGCAACCTACCATTTTAACACAACCCCTATATTGGTTTTGTAAGAAAAATGTGTAATTTACCGAAATAGGCGCAAAATAAGTACAACTGGAAAACCACATCCTTTCATCACTATTTAGCATATAAACTAAATTTAAAAGATATGTAACTCCGAATGGTGATCCTAAATTTAAAAGATAATATATATGCATTTTGGAGATCACAATACCCAACATATTAAGGTTCTAAGGTAGTGGTGTTCCACACTCATTTTTTATATGAAACAAGATGATGAGATAATAGAATTCCTCCACAAATGGATGGATGACCCATTTTAGCTAAGACATTTGGAATCGTAAACTAAGACATTCAACATTTATAAAATACGGTCTAACTAAACATTTTCTAACAATAAGGCCTAGCCCACCAACTTAAATACAACATAGTCCAACAAATTTGAGTAAAAAATAAAAGAGAGACTAGGGAAATGAGAGAATCGATGATGAAAAGGGCTAACCCTAAAACTCCACATCCAACGTAGAAGCTCAAGTAGGCTAGTAGAGAAGATTAGTGGGACTTACCCAAACATAATTAAAGCTAGATGAAGCATTAAAATCAACTAGACAAACACATTCATTCAAAACCATAACATATTCATTCATTACATAACAACCTTAAAACTAGGGTTTGAGAGTTAAAACCCCTAGTACCTTAAGATACTACTCCATAAAGGAGGGAAGAAGATACATAGAAGAATTTGGGGAAGACTTGGTTTGGTTAATCGGATAATCGAAAACCAAATAACATAGCATTACACGAAAACAATTGTCATGTAAATGAATAAAACATAACCATATGTTGTTACTATCATAAACTCATTATATATAAGCAATAATAAGACTAATCATCCATGATTATCATCATCGTTCGATTATCATCATCGTTCGAGTTAATACATCATTCATCATCTCTGCACATAATATAGTTAGCTTACAACAACCCCCTTAACATAAATATATACCAATACCCCTAAATCAGGAAGTTATTGCTCTCCTACAAAACACCAAACTATACATAGTTTGAGGTGAGTGTCATGGTATTGTACGTAATCCTAAAGTCTAGTAGTTGTCCAAAATGTTTTGGTTTAGTAAATAGGCAGGCCCATTTAATTTTTTACCCGTAATGTTTTGGTTTGTTGTGCACATGGAAATAAATTAGTGAATCACGAAAGTTTTATTTGATTGGTTGCATGGAAGTATAAATAATTTTGTATATTAGGTGTATCATTAATTGATTAATTGGTTTCATTGGTTAGCAGTGTTGAAACCAAACCAAACTAAACCACCTAAACCAAATAAGCTAAATTGTCTTACATTTCCTCTCCTCGTACCCCTGTTCTTATGTATCAAATCAAACCCTATTTTTTCAAGACAAATTTTGAAATGTTTTGTAATATGAGTGTTATTACTAAGTTCTTTAGTTAAAAGAGAATTAGTAATTACAAATTCAATTCACACATATGTTTTTTTAAAACCTTTTATGATATAAAATGACCTTATAGTTTTAAATTATGATACAAATTCAGTTTGTATCTATATCTATCTATACAAAAAAATTGTGCTACAAACCGAACTTGCATCTTTTACGTTGTAATACATGTTCAGTTTGTAATTATACATTTTCGTATAGATTCTTTTATGCTACAAAATGAACTTGTGCCGCTATCATTCTGATACAAGTTCGGAAAGCACCAATATTTTTGAACATATGGGCTCTCAATTTTAATAAAAAAAATTCCAACATGCTTTTTGCTAATTAATCATCATACTAATAAATCCATAGCACATTAGTCTTTCCTTTCTGAGTACTACTTTTTACACATTTGTTTTACTTCATAACCCTAGTTAGTTCATCATAATAAAAACTTTTTTGGACTACCACCACCAATCAGGGATAATAAAAAGTACTGCTCTTGTTAATGATATTAAGTAATTTCTTGTTCTTAATTGTTTCGGTCCCATGAACATTCAGGGGCAGGGAAAAAAAAAGATTGAGAGAAGGAAGGGCGGTTGCATAGTGCGTGAAAGTGAAAACCTTACTGTTCAATTCAATCACAAAATCCAGCACAACGCCATTCTTTCCTTTCTTCAGGTATATCCATGCTTCCTCTTTTTTCTTTTGGGGTTTTCAGCTTCCATGCTTTTATTTTGTTCTTCTTGTAATATGTGGTGAGACCTTCACTTGCTCTTTTATTATCTTTCCTCCTTAAAACTTTGTCTTTTTTCCTCTAGTGTTTTCCCCTTGATCAGGTTATGATACTTCTGGCATATTGTGGGAGGGTTCCTTCTGTTTTTATGGGAGTTTTTTGTTTTATTTTATCCCACCAATTTCTTGAGAAAATAAGATTTGAATTGATTGCCATTGTTAACTGAATTGAATTCCTATTGTGTAAGCTGAGAGTGGAGAAATTCTAGTTTAGAAACTGTTTGGCATTCTGGAGACTTTTAGTTATTTCTCTCCCTTTTTTTCTTATTGCGGTTATCCAAAGTTGCTCCCTTTACCCTCATGAAATTGCAAAGCAAAAGATACTTTTCTGGCAAAGATTTTGGGTGCGATAGGGTTCCTTTGTTTCTCAAGAAGGGCTGCAGAGAAGGGGGTAGGAAATCAGGGTGTTTGGATTCTGGGAAAATTGCTTTATGATCTGTTTTCTTTGCCTGTTGTAAGAAAAGGGATGTGCTTCCCTTTTTTTTTTTTTTTTTTTTGCTAGGGTTCCCTGATTGTTGATTCAACACCAATGACACCGTTGAAATCTACTCCATACTCCAACAGTAAGGAGGTTAGTTGTGATCTCGCCTCTTGATGTGCCTCTTGTTGTTCTATGAATGTGTTTTTGCCCTTTGGTGGTGTGTTCTCTTACAGAATTAGGTTTTCATTCCGGATATCGTATCTCTGCATCTCGATACTTGTATATCTGATGCAGAATTCTGCTCTAATTTTCAATAAACAAATCAGCTCCATTATGCCTATGTGGAATTCGTTTAATCCTAGTATTGAGCATAAGGCATGAATTTTTTGATCATCCTAAAGATCTGGGGTGCTCGCTATGCTGTTTTTTAATGCTCGTAAATGTTGGAGCTAGGTTTTAAGCTTTTCGGGAAGAAGACATGTTTAGGGTTTCGGTGTCTTTGTTAGTATCAAAGAGTTCAAACATCTCAGTAAAGCTTTGACCTTCTGAGATGCTCGATGGATATTAACTTCTTGATATGCCCTTCATGAATGAAGCTCCAGAGAACCAAATAAGTTTTTTATCCTTCAAGTCTCCTGCTTCTCTCTGATATGGAAATTGAGTGCATGTCATTTTATGATCTGTCCTCTTATGGTAACTGGCTACCTGTGGGTTATGCTACGAAGTTAGGTAGACAGTAATTTTAAGCTGTTTAATACCATATATGTTGAAGCTTCTTAGATAATCAATGGCATAAAAAATTCCTTCACACTTAGAAGACTGTACAACCAATTTATGTGTCCAATTGTTCTAGTAGCATACTTAGGGTCTCCATTGAGGTACTTACTGCATTTGAGTTCCTTTGAGTCCCACTCAGCTGTCATTAGACGATCTCCCCAAACTTTTCTTTGGCATATTTCTGTATTGTATCACTTAGTGAAGTGCAATGCCTGGCTTCAATCATGATCTTATGATTAGCTTATGGTTTACTTTCGAATAGGGTATACCTTCTGATTAAATCATGTTTTGCAGGAGCATTTTGTTAAGATCTCCCCAAAAAATGAGATGGTGACCGACTCCCCAGGAAGTCCACGTAACAGAAAAGTATATATATATAGACATTAGACCTTATACATTTTTATTGGAAGCATGATCTGCAGCAGCTCTTTTAATTCATTATAACCTGGCGTGGCGAGTAGAGTAAAATGGTTCCTCAATATGCTTCTAGCTAGGTGACTGCCAGATGGGAGCCAGACGAACCATGCAGACCTGAAGTTAATGACGCTCCAGTATTTTATCCTACTGTTGAGGTATTTATTTCGTATTTTCTCCTCGTGAAAATTGGAAAACTGGCTTTCATTTTTGCCTTGTTTTTCACACGTGTAAAATGCTCAATTCATTCAGGATTTTGAGGACACACTTGGCTACATATCAAAGATACATGCTAAAGCAGAGCCATTTGGGATATGCAGAATTGTTCCTCCAGCTTGCTGGAGGCCGCCCTGCCATCTTAAGGAAAAAAGAAATATGGGAAAATGCCAAATTCTCTACAAGGATTCAACAAGTCGACTTGCTTCAAAATAGAGAACCCATGAGGAAGAAACACAAAAGCCGGAAGCGGAAAAGGAGGCGGCAGTACTCTAAAATGGGGAACACGAAGAGACGCGCCAATTCATGTTCAGTAGGAGCAAATGTCGTTCCCGAGAATGAGGAGAAGTTTGGGCTCCAGACGGGTTCCAATTTTACGTTCGATGAGTTCCAGAAGTAGGCCGAATATTTCAAAACATGTTACTTTCAAAGGAAAGATTCCTCCATAGAGGATGTCGTCATGTCGATGCAGAACATCAGTAGTTTGAGCAGCCTTCACTTGATGTCGTCATTGAAGGTGAATATTGGCGAATCATTGAGCAACCAACAGATGAAGTTGAGGTATGGAACGTGGTCATTTTTTTCGTTTCCTGATTTCGTCTTCGGATTTTGCTTTTCTGCTGTCATATTGTGTTTGGTTTGAGTTAAGTGACTGTGTTTTGGATACTTACTTTGAGCAGGTGAGGGTTGAGATGGAGAAGGAGAGAATACAAGGCCTTGCGGATCAGTTAAAACAGCAAAAGATGAAGGAACCCTCTGATTTGAACAGTGAGAGAGAATGTTTCTTATGTTTTTACGACTTGTACCTATCTGCTGCAACTTGCAACTGCTCCACTAAACAGTTTGCATGTATCAAACATGCTAAGCATGTTTGTTCTTGTGAACTGGAACAAAGATACGCGCTTGTACGTTATACCATGGATGAGTTGAGTAGCCTTGTTGATGCATTGGAAGGAGACGTAGAGGCCATGAAATTGTGGGCTTCTGGTAACGTTGGTGGCAGTTTGGTTGCTGCTAATGATCCCAAGGAAAGACCATCAGATTCCCCAAGAATAGATGAAATGGTGGGCTCATGTGGCTTGAACAGCCCTGCTCCTTCAGATGTAATCCAGTCCGATAACAAAAAACTTCTTTAGCAATGTTGAAGGTTCAGCATTGAAAATTGAAGCTGGTGATTCTGAGGAAGAGGTATGCATTGAAGGAACAACTCATGCATCAGAGCTTTACGAGAAAATAAGACTTTTTTCAGGCTATTGAAGCTCTCGATCCAGATCATCAATGTAAGGAGTACTGGAACAATAAGCGGCTCCTGAACGAAAATAATGCAATTGAACAACAACAACAACAACAATCCATTAATCCGGGTGAAGAAGCGCAGCAAATAATGCAAGGACTGTTGCAAAAAGCAAGTCCCGAAGAACTGAAAATAATGAAGAGCATGTTCTGCAGCGAGGCACAGTGCGTCGAACGGAATGTGACATTCAAGACATTCATCGAGCAGTAGATGCAGAAATGAAGAGTAATAGGATAATAACAGAAGAGTTGAACAGGAAGATCAATGGAGTTTTAGGTCCTTAGTTCACAACCAACCCATAATTCTTTCTTGATTCTTTAGTGTAGCCTTTTAATTCATTAGATAAAATTGGATTTAGGCCTCAGTTTTTTTTCAGGGAAGGAAAAAAAAGCAAAACCCTAGCTTGCTTGGGCAGACACAGATTGAATTGGCTACTATTAGGACTAGGGAGTGGGTGGACAAGTTTTTTGTAGGATGATGCTCCACCCAATAACACAGCCTTTGCTTGGTGCTCTGCCTTTTTAACCACCATAGCCATTGTAAACATTCAGGAACCATTTTTATCTATTGCTAATGAAATTAGGGTTTGAGTTTCATTACCAATTCAATTTCCCCCATTCACAGAAGACACAAACGTCACTATCCATATTCTCTCTGCTTCAGTGCTCTAATTGCAAACTTGTGCAGGAAACAAATACCATGAATGGAAATGCAAGAGGGAAAAGGGCAAAGAACACCAGTAGAAAGGAGAAAGCTGCCTTTTTTTTTCATTTCAAATGATTTCAGTACATTGGGGGCTGCACTGGAATCAACATACCAGCAAGAATCAATCTAATATGGTAGCCCACTATTTGCCTCTCCCTCTGAAATCTACTCTGTAAACTGACGAAACCAGCCCGCCACCGGACCAAACCAAACAACACACTGAATAAAGGCTCTGTAATTCTGTTTACTGACTCACGAATTGAGAACTGAAGTCAAAGAAAGTCCAGAAATTGATTCAGCCCATGAATTTTCCCCAAAACTTGAGGCGGAAGCTGCTGCTTATCGGAGCTGATCTGGAGGGCAGCGTCACCGTAGATGGAGTAGTCCATGAGATTGGCGATGCCGTGGACGACGACGGCAGGGGAAGTGAACAAGTCAGTGTGGGAGAGGAGGGAGCCGTCGAGGGTGAAATTGGCGGCGGAATTGTTGGTGATGAGAATCGATTTGGCGAGAGAGAGAGAGAGAGAGGAAGGAGAAATGGGTTTTCTTGGATGGGAATTTCAGAGTTCTTGGTTTGCTTTTGGGTGGCGTCTTGAGTTCCTGGGGAAGGAATAACATTAACAAACTCTTCGCTCTTCCCGCCAAAAACTCGAAGAAGAAGAAGAAGAAGAAGACGGGTTTGGCTCTGTATTTATGAGATCTGTTCAGGGGTATAAATGGAATGGTGCATTAGTTTGCGAATTTTCGGGTTGCAAACCCTAGACGGTTACTCGTGTAAAACTGTAAATCACTGACGGCCCAGCCCATGCATTAACTCAACCTTCCAAAAGCCCAGATTCGCTTTCCATCAATAGGCCCAGTCAATCAGTTACAACTTACAATAGACGTTCAAACTTCAAATAAACGGTGTGAGTAGAAGACTTGGCCACTTGGGAAGGAAGAAAGACGGGATATATTTGTCCAGCAAGTATATAATTTACAAACCCCTCTAGAATGAGAAGAATCATTATGTGAGATCATCCTCGTCCAAGCCTTCTCCTTCTTCAGTCCCAGCTTTTACTGCGGTAACTTCACCAGTAGGTAGCTTTCTTCCCAGCTTGATGATCTGCAAGTTCACACGCACAAGTAAAAAAAAGGGAGAGAAGTCAAAAAAATCAAACCAAACCATCTGAGTGTGGCGACGCGATAGTGCATTTGTCAGTCGACGGTAAAAAGCTGCACTCTGCAATGAGTCGTGATAAAAATAACAGGGTAAAAGAACTCACAGCATGGTCAAGATGAGTAATGGTGCTAGACTGAGCCAGACGTTTAATTTCTTCAACGTTGCCTTCTGAATAAGCTGAGATAAGCCTGCTACCACATCGGCCCTGGTCACTTCCCAAAAACGCAGGAATCCTGGACGCGGGAAAAGAACAGACAGGGGTTAACCAACAGGGAGCACTTTCCAATTGAAGGATTGATGCATAAAAAAAAGATATTACTTACTGTGAGCAGTCATTATAGCATTTCTCTGCTGCCTTGACATCATTAGCATAAAGGTACACAACGATAGCACTAAGGTATGCCTGCAATTTTGATGATGTGTTCCATTAAGTGGTAAGATTATCATTACATAAAAAAATGTGGGGTGGCTTTTGGAATGAAATTGGGCAAAAACTTTTGAGGCAGCAAGTTCCAAACCTTAAACTGGCTGTTACTAGCATTGCATTTGTCAGCTGCAAGACCCAATCTCAACAAGGCAGCTGCAGCATCTGTGTACCTAAAAGCATTAACTACATGAATCATCTCCTCAACTATTGAAATTTCAACTTCCACCACAAGCGAGGCCAGAAATAACCACAATCCACAATCTGAAATTTAAAATTTGAAAGCATTGTTGCCTGGAGAGTAGAATGCTTGTAGAATCATAAGAGCTCAGGTCAGGACCATCACAGGTTACTATTTACCAAGCCACGTAAATAAAAAGTATCGAGACCAAGCTTGGTGATCATTACTAATTCCAAAACACGCACTATGTATAAACATCATCCCTTATTGCCTGCAAGTGCTCACCAGGTCAATTCTACAGAGGTACTCTAAACGATATACAAAAACCAGGTTGTATACTCAGCCTATTGCATGGCATAAGATTCGACAGGCAATCACTCAATGGAAGAAGATTGTTCACGAGCTAAGCAGGTCTGCCAAACAAATACTTACTCAACACAACCAGAGAAGAAAACAGAAAAGACACCAAGGCAATTTGCATTTTCACAGTTAATTTTTTTTACAACAGACGAAGAACATCAAGTAGATAGATATATACTATGATGCCAACAAAGGCAATCATATCAGACTATGCCTGTTCAAGTTAATCAAAACTTCTCATGGAATTAGACAATTAGTAAACAAAGTAAGTCTTTGAGGTTATCTGCTGGGAACTGGTCTGCTTCCCTATCAGTAGCAGTAACTCAGTTTAAGGCAGGTAATCCAAGTTCACATCGAGGTAGGCTACTATGGATGATTGTTGTCAGCGAGTTATGGCGTGAAAGATGTCGAAGACTGTATGCTGGTACCCAACCAGTGCTGGTCAGTTGCTTGAAAAATTTCGAGAACTTTTTGACATTGTTGAGAGCAAGTAATACTCAGGTTGCTGCTTGTATGTCTGATCGAGATATTAGTAGCACAGAGTAAGTAGTTGTCCTAAATTGTAAATGAGGTTTAGCTGAACTATTAGATTTGGGATGTGAAAAGTTGGATAGATGTTTTGTAAAGTGTAGATTTGGTGCCAGTTAGATAGCATTTTGCTGCCTTTTCTTGATGAATTGCTTATTCATCGTGGGAAAAAATAGTAAACAAAGGATGCCAATCAGATATGGACGTGGATGGTTGCATACATGTGCGATAAAAATAACAACAGGAAACAACCAGATGCATGGAGCAAGTGCAGATTCTCAAATGCATCTCTGAAGTGAGAACATTTGGCATCTGGATCAAAGAAATGAAACGTAGCTGGATTAAGACAATTACAGCTGACAACCAATTGGGGTAAGGTAGTTCTTACTTCTCAAGCTTTATGTGGACGGCGGTTAGAGCACGGTATAGATCAAAGGCCATTTGGTCCTTGTCATCCTCTTCCAGAAGTGAACAAGCATCGGTATACAGCTGAACAGCAACATCAGGGAGATGATCTTCCACGGCACTGCGGAAAATAGAAAAAGAAAATACATGCCAATTTACTTTTAAGCTCCCAACTAGTTTTCCCTCAAAAAGCGAATCTCACCAATTAAAGACCATAGCTTCACTAAACAGCTTATCATCTAAACACCCCCCTACACAAATAAGAAGCAATTTACTTCATGCGGAACCTAGAGACCTCTAATTCTACTTGACTTGCGCTAGCTTACAACAAGCATAAAAATGTAAAAAATAAACCTAGAATTACACAAAGAATGTACAATGAAGTAGAATATGAGCTTACCGAGCTGCCTTCCCCAGTGCATCAGATGCAGGTTGTGCCCTCCCACATTCAACGTACAACTCGGATGCCCTTCTGTACAAGTCAGCTACATCATTCCAGTTACCTAGCTCCTTAGCTAGAGCAGCGGCAGATTCCATGTGCTTAGCGGCGTCCCAGGGACTTCATTTCAAGTAAAGGGCAAACCAACAGAAGAAGATAGCTACTACACCTAGCATGTGCAATCAGATACCAAAGTATTCTTCAAAGACTAAAGAACTCAAGCAAGCAAAAAAGGATACGACGTAAGCATCTCTTGCCCTTTGGAAGCCTTTTCGAATGCATCTTTCGCCTTCTCGTACTTCTTGGCTACTCTATACGCATTGGCTGTAGGAGAATAATCAAATCATTAGCAAAGATATTCTCTCAACCCACCAAGGAAATCCAACAAAGGCTCAGTTTGCAGTAATAATTAGCACTATACAACAAGAAAGCTCGTAAAGACAGCAGCAGCAGCGATCACTAACCAGCTTGCTCGTAGTTAAGAGTGGCGTTTCTCCAATCAGCACTCCACCTTGTAAGGGTCAGCTTTGTTCTAGTAGAAAACAACAAGTTATCAACAAACAATCACCAGTGGGCGGAAATCTGAAATTGGAAACTAGCCAAATTTCAAAACTGCAGCAGGAAATTTGCTTCAGTCCGTACGGCTATGGCGGGCAACTAGAATGAAGCGGTAGGAATAAGATTCCTTCCCCCTAGGTGATGAGAATCGCGAAAATCACGAATTCATTTCGCAGATATGCAGAAGATTCTAATCGATGAATTCTCGAGGATCAGCAGCGGTACAGCAGATTGGATCCCAAAACATAGGGAGTCGGAGAGGAGCGAGGTTAGATAGAGAAAGGAAGAAACAGAGAAGGAGGCTCACAGCTTATCGGCCTTGGCGACGAGCTTATCGGGATCGGAAGACATTTTGGTTGTCGGAACGGACTTTGGCTGGTCTTAGTCTCTGGCTCTCTGCAACAAATTTCCCGCTGGAATAGAGAGAAAGATTGTGGAATCAGAGTAACCAGCGCAGAGAACCATTGTCCTAGGATGGCAATGGGTCGGTTTGGGACGGGTTTTGTCAAACACATACCCAAATTTATGGGTTTATCCGCCAATAAAATCCGGAGTAAAATTCGTTGGGTTTGAAAAACTCAAACGCAACCCAACCCTTTGAGTATCCGCGGGTTCATGGGTACCCGTGAATTTTTGTGGTAAAAAATATACAATAACAAGTTTCTATCAAAATAAAAGTTTTAACATCAATTTTCTCATACAAATTATTCATACAAAAAACACCAATCTAGAGCATACGAGCAAACCGCAAATGATCAAATGCAAATTGTTCAAAATTAAAGATAAACATCTATAAACAATAAGATTAATTGAAAGCTTCTTCATCGTCAACTAAGTTTCTTCACTCTTCATTTCATAATATCAACTTCATTCTAAACAATTAGAAAAAACAAATTATACATGTCTCCACAAACATAAAGAATATTAGTTGTTTAAGGAAAATATATTATTTAGAATATGGCTTAATTGCAAGTTTGGTCACTCGAATTGCTACAAAATTTCACGTTTGCCACTCAAATTAATTTATTCCATTTATAGTCACTTAAATTAGGTTAACAATCCAAGTTTGGTCACTGGCCGTTAGTCTCCGTTAACTTTTGCTGATGTGGCGGTCAACTCTTATAATTGACCGTTAAATGAGTGACGTGGCGATTAAAAAATTAATAAAATAATTTAATTTAATTATTTTTTATTTTCCACCTAATTATTATAAAAATAAAAATAAAAACCTACTTTCTTTTAATTGTTATTTTCCACCGCCCGTAGCCGTTCCTCTCCCCTCAGGTCGACGACCTCTCCCAGCCGGCCAAGCCCCGCGTGGTGGAGGAGAAGTAGGCGGTGGCGGAGGAGGAGGTGGTGGAGCAATGGCTTCGTTGGGCGCGTAGTCGTTTAACCTTGCAATCTTCATTTTGGGTTATATATAAGCAATAATAAATGTATGAGAAAGCAGATGATGGATCCCAGTAGCATATATTTCACCATCCCTGTGAGCGAACTCCCTTCTTCTTCTTTGTGACAATCTAGGATGAAGAGCCCCAATTGCAACAGTAGTAGTCCATCTTCCTCCTCCTCGCCTTTTCCTTCTCCTACATCTGTTATTCCCTCGCCAACCCGGGGACGACTAGGAATCAATCCAGATTCGCGGCTGATTTCCAACAACAACAACAACAACAGTAAGCCGAAGCCGCCCAAGATCCGCATCATCCACATATTTGTGCCGGAGATCATCAAGACCGACGCAGCCAACTTCAGGGAGCTCGTCCAGCGCCTCACCGGCAAACCCAACCATCCACGCCCGCCCACCCGAAAAAGCAGCACCAACAACAACAAGCTCCCGCTGCCAACGCAGACGCCCCTTCTACCGCCGCTGACGATAGAGTGCGACGACGGGGAGGAGGCAAGGGCGGGGAGTCAGTAATCGAGTGGTTACAGCGACGGCAACAACAACGACAACTCTTCCTCCTCCTTGCTGTTTGGTGGCGCCTGAGGGTTTGGGTTCGAGTTTCTGGGCAAACTCTGATACTGACACTTTCCATTTGCGATTGATTCGGTTGGAGCCAGAGAAAATTTCCAGCATCCGGATCGGAGCAGAATCGAGATGAAGGATGACGATTCTCTTCCAACATCGACGGCGATGGGCAGCTTGTTGAAGAAGGACACCTCCGATTCCTCTCACTTCGGGAAAGGCAGGTACAAGTTCTGGGCCTTAGCTGCCATTCTTCTCTTGGCATTGTGGTCCATGTTCACCGGAACAGTCACCCTCCGCTGGTCCGCCGGCAACCTCAACCGTCTCTCCGACGACATCGACACGCCTATCCACGATGATCTCAACGTCCTTGTAAAAATTCTCTCCATTTTGGGTTAAACGACTACGCGCCCAACGAAGCCACCGCTCCACCACCTCCTCCTCCGCCTACTTCTCCTCCACCATGCGGGGCTTGGCCGGCCGGGAGAGATCGTCGACCTGAGGGGAGAGGAACGGCTACGGGCGGTGGAAAATAACAATTAAAAGGAATTAGGTTTTTTTTATTTTTATAATAATTAGGTGGAAAATAAAAAATAATTAAATTAAATTATTTTATTAATTTTTTAATCGCCACGTCACTCATTTAACGGTCAACTATAAGAGTTGACCGCCACATAAGCAAAAGTTAACGGAGACTAACGGCCAGTGACCAAACTTGGACTGTTAACCTAACTTAAGTGACTATAAATGGAATAAATTAATTTGAGTGGCAAACGTGAAATTTTGTAGCAATTCGAGTGACCAATCTTGCAATTAAGCCTTTAGAATATTAAATATACTGGGAAAGTAATTATATGTGTGTGGGCGGGTATCCATGGGGCGGATTTACCTAAACCCAAACTCAACCCGACCCGATGAATAGTGTAGCGGGTTTAAACTCGAACCCGGCCCAAAACCCGTCAACATGGGTTTTACCCGCGTTGACCGAGTTGGGTCGGGTGGGTACCCGTGGGTTCGGGTTTTGTTGCCATCCCTAATTGTCCATAGGGTTTCCCTAGAGAATAGAGATGTTGCTGGACCGCACCTATATTTTTTTTAAACTTAAGCTATAGTTTCATTCTTCCCCTCATTAAGTACTAACTTAAGCGTCGGAGAGTGTCCACACCGAGATTGACTGACTAGGGGTGTTCAAATGATTAACATGGTAATTATCAAACCAAATAAACATATGAATTCTATTAACCATGGAATAAAATATCATAACCAAATCGTTCAAATTAATACAACAACCAAATTAACCAAACTAATGTTTAATCGGTTTTCCCATAAAAAAAGTTTAGTCGGTTTGATTAATTAGTTAACCAAAATTAAGGCTGGTAATCGCTCGGTTATCGGTTTAACCAGTATCCGACTGATCGGTTATTGGTATACCAAGCATTCCCAATTGACAGCTGATAACCGCTATAGAATATAAACCGGTTAACCGAATACCGATTACCGATTAACAGTTAAATTACCGGTTATCCGAAAAACAGGCTGAAAAAATAAACTACGCACCTGGGACCGGGAAATCAACTAATAACCGAAGAAGTAGAGCTTCAATAAGAAATCATTATCAACTAGTTTATACCCTGTCCTTTGGGCAGGTAGTATTTTTTATAATAATCTAATTGTTAATATATTTGATAATATTTAAATTATCAATTTCATCATTGCAGTGGTCCCATTTTTGTGAGGATGAGCTTTGATTAGAGTATGACAGTGTTTGCACTCTCCCATCGGGTAGCTGTTAACTATCAACTTCTTAAACACCTTCCAACATCAGCTTTACCCACCGTCTTCAACCATTTCTCGCAATCAAAAATGTCTCATGTAGCTGTCTCTGAATCAGGAGCGCCCGTGTCAACAGAAGGAGTCTCGGCAGGTGTACCGGCAGGTGTACTTCCACTATCGACAGGGGCGCGAATCGATGGAGTTGATGAAAACGGTTCAGCTTCAGGTGGTTGAACAGGTCGACTTCCTGTACGCCCACCACGACCCCGGGCCTGAACAGAAGCACTCGCACCACCACGACCTCGAATTGCCGGAGGTCTCCCACCACGAGGAGCAGGAGGTCTTACCCTAAAAAACAATTACACAAAGTCATAAATTGAGAGCTAAATTCTCATTTCTTTCCCTTCTGTCAAATTCATCGCATTTAGATTGTTATCCTTTTCTTCTTTCACAAAGAACCATCACAAAAGAAATAAGATGCATAGTTATTTAAAATATATGTGATTACTCAATTGCTTCAGAGTGTCATTTAAGGAACCTGAAATCCTGAATAGAGAAGCAAAGAAGAACATGGAGATCGATAATCACTACAGAAGGAATCTATATCTATAGCTTCAAAAACATCTCTCAATTATTTTTAAAAAAGAAAACCCACTAGATTCGAATCATTATAATTCAATGGTTTTGGTTCATGATCAATCCACAACTCTGCAGACAATCATGGAGTAGATCGAGCTGGTTTAATCTTCAATCCTAACCCTCTAATCAAATTATAATTATATATACAGATTTAGTTGACAATTCCAAGATTAATGATCTTAAGTCTAGGCCCCCCTGCTTTTTTTCTTATCGAAACCAGGCTGTTTATGTTCAATTATGTACCAATCAAAGACAAGGTAAAATAAGCTATTGCTCCAACGGGTGACTTACATAATTGATAATTCTTCAACGGCGGTTGCTGGGTCGCGACTTGCGAGCAATGCGACGCCGGCGTTCCTGCTCGCGGCGAAGGGAGAATGCGGCGCCGGCGGGTTGGGCTCGCGGCGAATGGAGTGAAGGCCTGAAGGCCTGAAGGGAGAAGGGAGAAATCGGCGCCGGCGGGTGGGCTCGCGGCGAGCAGTGGATTGGCGCGGCGCCGGCAAGTTTGAACGGCGGTTGCTGCCTGCTGGGTCGAACTTCGATCGATTGCTGAGGTCTGAGTCTGAGGAGTGGCCGTTTGGCGTTTGCAGTGCAGAGGAGGAGGAGGCAGGAGATGAGGCGGTCTTCGTCGAATTAGGGATTTAGGGTTAGTCTCGTGGCCCGTGGAGTTCATGGTGAGCGGCGTCGTTTTGGGTTTTGCCGGTTAGCAGGCCGGTTAGCCGGCGGTTACCACCGTCGGTTAGCCGGTTAACCGGCACAGTGACCCCCCTTACCGCCAACCGCCCGACACTGTTTGTTTCGGTTAGTCGGTTAACCGGTAACCAGCGGTTATCGGTTTAACCGGCCGGTTAACCGCTAACCGAATGGCCAGCCCTATCAATTGTTATGGATTATAACGTTGTGTTAGTTAAAATTAATGAGAAACTTCCCATAAATTAATAAGTTCGAGTAAATGAGAAAATGTTTACATTAAGGATTAAAATACTGTACATGAAAATTCTTTAGTAGGGTATTTTATGTAAAAATCGTGGTTCGGCTAAATTACGCGTTTGGTCACTCAAATTACATAAATTTTTTATGTTTGCCAGCCAAATTACCGTTCTTTCGTACTGACCACTAACTTTACGAATCATTTCACCATTAGTCATCGACCGTTAGGCTCCGTTAAATCTGTCAAATTTTTAATGATGTGGCAAACAGAATTGCTGACTGGACCGTTAACTTAATCAAATATCAATTTTAAAAAAGTTAAAAATTAAAAAATATTACACCTCATTCCGCCACACACTTTCTCTTCTCATTCCTCTTCAGACTCCCAGCTCCCAACAGAACGACGGCCGCTGCTCTACTCCGTCCAGGTTGCAGCCGCACCAGTCTTCACTGCGTCCACAATCCTCTCTATCTTCTTCCTTGGCGTCCCCAAGTCCTCGTCGGAATCGATGCAAATCTGGGGATCGAGACCAACCAAATCCAGCCACTAGCCAAAGCCAAGCATGCTTTCTTTCTTCCTTCCTCAGTTCACAATGCCATCTCCCATCTCCAATTCCTCCACTCGATGGACACAGAAGAAAAGGGGAAAAAGCAGTACCCTGTAGCTCTCTCTCTGCCTCTTCGATGGCCTTGTAATTAGGGACTTTGCTTGGAAAAATTAGGGATTGGGCTCCAGCGACGAATCCACCGCGCAGCTTTCCCCCTCCACTCACAGTAGGGGTCCTCCGGTTGGACGATGGTGGGAGCGTCGGGGAGGAGGAAATCCCGATTGAATAGGAGGCGATGCAGCAACAGATCTACAAGGCGCCAGATTACCCATCGTTCGAAGCAAACCCAGATATAGAAGTCGCTGAGTGATGCACTTGGTCCTTCTCCTATTCGATGACCGGTGCTTATCCATCAAGATCTGCTCGTCAGGTGGAGAATCGCCTAGACAAAGGGTGGAAAAGGCTATGTGCTATGTTTTTATAGAAATTGACCCGGGATCAGCAATCTTCTTCCTCTCGCCGACAACAACAGATCCGGCACCACTGGCTCTCTATCTCACTCGCATCTCTCTTCATTCTTGTAGGAGATAGTGTCGTCGGTCAGTGTCAATATCACTCTGTTTCTTTGTTTCGTATGGTTATCACTGGCGGCTGTCTCTAATTGCTTTTGTTGACTTTATAATTTGTATGATGAGTAAGGAGGAGGCGAATCAAGCAGGCTCTAAGGAGGAAAGAGGCGAGGAAGAAGACGAGCTAATAAGAGTGCAGGACCCTGACGAAGAGCTGGTTTTCACAGCGCTGATTTTGGCCTTGGCGGTGGTGGTGGAGGCTTGTAGCTTTTTCACTTGCCGGCGTCGGAGCAATGGGGGATGGGGCCAAAAGGAACATGTGATTTGGAGTTTGGTCCACATCAGCAGTGGAGGATGAGGGAATCGGTTCTTGGGCAAAAATGAGGGTTTAGTTTTTTATTTTTTATTTTTTTAAATTGACATGTAATAGTCCGGTCAGCAGTTCTGTTTGCCATGTCATTAAAAAACTGACGGAGTTAACGGAATTTGACGGAGACTGACGACCAGTGACTAATGGTGAAACGATTTGTAAAGTTAGTGGCCAATAAGAAAGAAAAGTAATTCGGGTGGCAAACATGAAAAATTAATGTAATTTGAGTGACCAAACATGTAATTTACCCATCGTGGTTCTATTGTTTCATATCGTTAAATATCGTTTATCATTTTAGCCTTTGGTAGAAAGTTTTTCTGGTCGAACCGCTGGTACCTTTTTCAATCTGTGGTTCACATCTTACCAATTATATGCACCATTTAGGAGATATATCATGTATATGTCTGTAGAATAAAAAAAATATGATGTACTAAAAAATCGCTTAAGAATTAAGAAACTTTCTTTATTTTTACGTATAGAAAGCGTAAATACTCTACTTACGTAAAAAAAAAAGTGTAATTACTAATCTGCATTCATACCGTTCCAGCTAGGGGTGGAAATTGGTACGGTATCAGTATCCCAATACCAAATACCGAAATCGCGATATCGAATTACACCCTAAAATCAATCCCAATCCCTAAATAATTTCGGTATTCCAATCCCAATTCCTAAATAATTTCGGTATCTCTATCGGTACCTCAGTATTATCGAATACATAATTAATTCCCTTTGCAATTAATAATTTAATATATAAATTAGATTTTATTATTTAATTTAGGGCAAAGAGACTAAGCAAATAGTCTTGAGTTGCCTAGAGCTAACATCTCAAGTTCTTGTAATTGGTAATCTTTAATTTGACAAATTTGAGGTTGAGAGATGACTAATGTAATGATCTATGTATAATTAAATGACACTTTTGGTGGTTCATGGTCGTGTAGTAGTGAATGAGAGAGTCTAGTTGAGAGGATAAAATACACACTAGCTTATATTTTGGTATTGATCGGTATTTCGGTATATATCGATTTCAATCCCGTAATCCCTAATACCGAATAACAATTGAAATTCAATCCCAATCCCAATCGCAAAAAATAATATGTGTATTCGGTAATACCAAATATAGACAAATTCAGTACGATATTCGTTATATCTCAAATAGCGGTACCAAACTTCCAGCCCTAGTTCCGGCGTAGAAAAGCCCTAACAAAAAAATCCAAAACCTCAGTATCGTTCCCCTGAAGCCAAGCGACATCGGTGTAGACGGAGAGCACAGAGTTCAAATCAGCACACTTGTCGGATTGGTAGCGTCGTAGTGGGATAAGGAAGACTCATCGGAGGAGAGAGTTCCATCTAATTGAAGAGACGGCGTCGATGATTGAAAAAGAGATCCAGCCATCGTAGTTGGAGGAAAAACATAATTGTAATCGCGATTAAGGACCGAATTGTTGGAGTTGCAGGAGCGGGAGGAGGAAGGGATGGGAGGGTTGGGATCGGAGTCGGAATTGGAAGTGGAGTAAGCGCGAGAAGAGGCAGCAACATGATACAGCGGCTCGTACAATTGTCGTCCTTGTCATGTTCGGCATCGTCGGCTTCCTTATTGCTGTTGACTTGTTGTTGGCTTTCTCCTTCATCGCCTGATCTGGCGGCGAACATAGGAGGAGGACTGGGGATTAATTCCCTAAATACACATACAAGTAAAAAAATTCCTAAACTACACAAAGGAATCTTTCCTTATTGCTACCACAAAGGGTAATTTTTTTTCCCATTATATGGGAGAATTCATTAGCACAATCAAACAATGAGAAAGCAACAAAACGAGCATTCATCTTAACTTGTAACTTAAACGGTAAAAACAAAAAGAAATATTAATTAACTAAAAGAAACAACAAAGAATGAGTGAGAGAGTAATATAGAGTTGTTTAGGGATGGCAATTTTGCCCATACCCATGGGTATTTTACTATCCAACCCAATTGGGTTGGGTATGGATTCCAAATAAATGGTAGATGGGTAGAGTTTGATGGGTTTGTACCCATACCCATTTACTTGGGTTGGGTTGGATTTTTAACACATGGATTTGGGTTTGTACCCATGCCCAAAGGCAAATTACAGTTTGGTACCTAAACTTAATAGATATGCAGATTTAGTACCTAAATTTAATTTTTTTACATATAAGTCCTCAAAATATCGATGGAAAATTACGTTTTGGTACCTAAATTTTTTGGTCTTACATTTTGGTACCTAAACTTTTCAAGTTTTACAAATAGGTCCAATTTTTGAGTGTGTAGTTAAAACACCCTCAAGTAAATGGATATCCATATCCAACCCATACCCATTTGCATTATGAAACCAATATCCATACCTAACCCAAACCCATCTACAAACCCCCAAACCCATATACACTTCATCCAAACCCTACCCATACTAAATGGATTTATTTGGATTTGGGTAAAATTACCCATGGGTGGGTAATTGCCATCCCTAGAGTTGTTGTTCTTCTTATGTTGTTGTTGTAGTTTCTTATTCTTGAGCTTGGTTGTCATTATCAAATAGAGAGGGGTGGAGGTGAGGCGCCGCCACCAGAGGGAGGGAAAGGTAAGCCGCCATCGCTAGATGGAGGGGAAGGAGAGATGCCACCTCCCAAGGGAGGGAAAGGCGGGAAGTTAGGAAGAGGAGGGAGTTGGAATCCTGGTGGAAAATTTGGGAGTGGAGGAAACTGGAAACCTGGCCTTGGGAAGCTCGGGAGCGGAGGGAGCTGGAAGCCAGGCCTTGGGAATGGAAATTGTGGGAACGGGAACATGCTTTGCGCCGACGCTCCTAAACTGACAGCAGTGGATTCATGAAGCAATCGGGCAGCATCCACTGTGGCCACCACAATCAGCAGCGCTAGCCCAACGAAAGCAATCATTTTTGTCATCTTGATGATGGGAAATGAAAGGCTTTGTATTGTATGAAAAATGGGAGAGATACTGAAAATAAGTCGTAAGTATTGAGATATATATAGTGTCTAGATTAATCCGTAACTCTTTGTTTTCGTGTTTGGATTGGTGCCATTAAAAGACCAAATCAGATTCTGAAAGGAAACAAATAGGCACCTGAAATGGGAGAAAATCATGAAAATAAACATAAACATGGTCGGTTGCTCTCCATGCTGAAGAGGGTGTTAGGAAAGATATCTTCCCCTGGCTTCTGCTTGTTTTGGTCTTTGTGATTTTGGAATCATGCTCATTACTGTTGACTTTCATTAAACTTTTGGAAAAGTGTCATTCACTTTTCCATTGCCGGAACACATTTCCTATTTTTCATGCCAATGTTGGGAACAAAATCCAAGTAAATATTTTTAAAATAAAATAATAATAATAATAATAATGTTATCCAACGTGAAACAAATTTGCTAATAAATCAAGGTCTAATGATACGAGATTAGTTAGGTGTCAATTTACCAGAGTTGAGTATCTTCTAAATTAAGGGGGAAAATGTACTAAAATGGTGACAAAATACCTCAGAATCTATAGTCAATTATTACAAAATGTCAATTAAATTTACATGAAAAAATGTTACTCGTATAGTTTATATTTTCCATTGCACTTCCTTGCCATACCCAAACTTTGGACTTTGCTACAGTGACATGCATGTCACCGTAACATGCACTTTTCTAGAGTGGAGAGGTGTAGGAACTTCATGAGTTTAGCTTGTGTTTTTTGTTGTTATGTGGTTTTCGATTTCATGAAGTGTGTTTTATGTGAACAATTATGAAGTGTGTTTTATTATATTTCTTGTTAGTGTGTTACGTTGTTATGTTAAGAAGTTATGGGTCCTTGCTATCATGATATAAGACTGGTTCCAATGACTATCAAACGTAATTTGAACGATCAAACGAACCACCCACATCGACATACATACGCAAAAAAGTCGAAGGTCATAGGCTAAATTTCCTTAATTCGGTCGATCTTGAGACCAACACTCGATCTTCATTCACGTCAAAAAGAGATGGATAAATGGATAGAGCACTTTACTCTTCTGTATGGTCGACCTCTTTCTGTAAATGGTCGACCATTTTGGTAATAACCACAATCAAGTGGTCGACCTCATTACCTTTACGGTCTACCAATTTGCTTCAAACTACAATAAAAAGGACGACCCATGTTTTATTGCGGTCAACCGGTAATGTCACAACTTAACTCAAAATAGTCGACCACTACATTTTAAAGGTCGACCGTGACAAGTCATCATATTGTCCACATTAGTGTATTCAGTCGACACCGTTAAGAATAGGTCTACCGAAAAGTGCATATTACGGTGACATGCATGTCACCACTCACCATAGGTTCACCCCAAACTTTAGTATTTATAAATTGGAATTCCATTGCTACAATTTTTTCATTCGCTTTACTTATATGACTTGTCATGTCTCCTTCCCAAGACGCCTTGTCGCCTTGACATATGGTCCGACAACGGGTCTCTTAACATGGAGGCCTGTGAAGGATTTTCTCACTATTTCAGTCGGCGTAGGTTAGCATGCTAACCGCCCTTAGGGGTTGGAAAAATGACACCCCCCTAGTATATTAAATATAACTATAGAATTTAATACACACATTAAATACACATTAGAAATTAAATGCACCATATAAATTATTTGTTTTTCTTTTTCAACTTAAAACCTACACTAAATACATTTTCTCTCACTATATTTGATTTTTCCTTTTTCAGCAGTCTCCGACCACTAGACTTCCTCCGACCGCCACACTTCTCCGGTGAAAATCCCATCGGCAGACTCCCTCCGACCACCTCCAAAAAATATATCACTGCACTGATACGTTGTACCACTGTACTGGTAGATATACCACTGCACTGGTAGCGATATCAGTGCACTGGTAGCAATGTCATATCTGAGTATCAGTGCATTGGTACAAATACCAGTAAAGTGGTACAACATATCAGTGCAGTGGTATATTTTTGCATGTGACCGGAGAGAGTTTGTCGGCGGATTTTACCGGTGAAGTGTGGTGGTCGGAGGAAACTTGGTGGTCGGAGGCTGCTCGGAAAGGAAGAATCAGAGATAGGAGTGAGAAAGATCAAAGATGAGAGAGAGAATTGTATTTTGTATATGTTTAGATTTTTTTAAAAAACAAGTAATTAATGTGGTGTATTTAATGCTTACTTTGTATTTAATAACAAAACATTTATTATGTTTACTTTCATTAATACTTGTCAATAATTAATGAAATATTGACCAATTAAAGGGGTGTCAAAAAACCAACCCCTTAAGGGGTTAGCAACCCGTCCCATTTCAGTCCTACTAACACGCAAAATATTTGAATTTGACCGATTTGTACTGCCAATTCGGCCCACAAAACAATGGATGGTCCAAATTATATATTCAACACCCTCATCTCACATTCTTAGTGAGCATCCTCATCTCACAACTACCACCCTCATGATCCCACAAATTCCCACCCTCAATGCATGTTACGATGCACGACAAAGTCCCTCTACGTTGTCGGGACAGTTGCCTCCCTTTCCCAGTGGCGGAGCTAGAAAATTAGCCAATGAGTGTCTTTTACATATAATGAAAAAGTTAATTATATAATATAAAAGTCAACTCTAAAAGAAATAAAGAGTCGATAATATAGTACCCAAGATTCGTACAATTACATAATCATAGTTCTACGGACATCGCCTATAAGGAACCACAACAAGATTTCATATATAGAAAGCATTGTAGAACATATTCCTGTCCAAATTAGCACACAAATCTTGTTAATATATGGCATCAATGCATCATTCAACCACTCGTTGTTCATCTGATTTTGAATATCGTTCTTGATATATTTTGTGGATGAAAATGATCTACTCACTGTTGTTGCATAGGGAATGTAAGTGTCAACTTGAGAAGCAAATAAACATATGGATAATAATTTGTGCTTATTTGTTTCCACCATTTTTTGCTAACTCATCAACCCCTAGTACTTCTTTGAACCTATCATCAAATGGTAGATTAGATATATGAATTCAACGGATGACGAAAATACTTCATAAGATTTGGAGGGAACTTGTAGGGTTAGAAAGTAGTGAGCTGAATTAGTTTCTCCTTGTCGGAGGCAGCAAATGAATTTTGTGGATTTAAGCAAGTCATAAATAACAATACTGACAATTGAACTCGTCAAAACGATTATTAGTTGTGGGCCGGAAATTGTTTTAGTGGGAGAATTTAGGACAATTTGCTAATATAAATAATGCTCAGTGCAACCTGTATCATCATATTTACCTAGCCGAGATGGTAAGGAAGTTTGCTTGTCATTTGATGGACAAAAGATTTGAGTCCCTACTAACCCATGCAAACAGAAATTTTTTTTGCCAGCCCAAGAGGATTGCAAACACTCCCAGCGTTTCAAGTAGTTCCGCCACTTCCCTTTCCCAGTTGAGGTGTCTACCATAATTAATTTACAACCCAATAGAATACCCTACAAGTAGGGGTGGGCATTCGTCGATTCGGTCCAAGACCGGACCAAACTATTCTCGGATCGGACCAAAATTTCTTTTAAATCAAGGACCAAAGTCGAATCGTTATTACTTCGATTCGGTCCGGATCAAACCATATATGGCTCGATTTGGTCTGGACCATCCGATTAGACCGACTAATCTTTCATTCGAATAAAATCACTCTTAAAGGACAACACAAGAATTAAGAAATGTAACTACACAAAAAGAAGTAATTAAGAAATGTAACTACACAAAAAAGAAGTAATCAAATTATTCCAATTTAAATACTCCACAATTCTTAAAACCCACATGTTCCAAAATATTATGTTAAAAGCTAAATGAGAACTACTTAACTAAAAGAAGTAAGTCTTTTTATTCAATCTCAAAGTAGTCTAACTAATTGCCTCTCTAATCTTCTATTTTCATTTCCAGAGTGCACGTTGGACCTCCCAATCTCCACAATTTCCATTGTTCATTAGAAAGGAGTTTAACAAAATGATACTTACTCCAAGAACTAGTGCAATAAAATAAATGATTCTTAAACTTGCTAATTTGCAGTGCTGTTGTCAGACTTGGCAGAAGCATATGTGGTGTCATTTATTCGCATCTTCTCCATATCTGAAACACTAAACAAGAAAAGAGAACATAATATAAATACCTGGTTCACAGTGTGTAGGTAAAGTAAGCAGCTCTCTTGATCGAAGCAACATGGATGAGAACTCTGATTCGAGGGTAGGACTATAGGAGCAGGAGCGGTGAGTCAAAGTCAGGAAAAGTCATTCATATATATAGGTAATTAAGTGGCATGTAGGGTACTATGGTTTTCAACTCCAAGTCGACTTTCCTTCTCAGAGCCTAATAAAATGGGGATTGCTAAACATCGCCCTAACTTTACTTAAATCGCCCTAATTTAATATATATATATAATTACCTTTATATCCTTATATATTTTTGTTAGTAGAAAATGAAAAAATAAAAAACATAAAAAAATAACCTCTCCGTGGAACTTCCCTGCATTCATTGAGCCTAAATCAAAACAAACAATCACGGTCACATTGAAGTAAGGTTCACGGCAGAGACTATTCATGTCCAGGAGGAAGTGGAAGTCATTCATTTTTTTACCCAAAGTGTTAAAGGGTGAAGAAGACGGCGTTTTGGGTGGTGACGGCGGAATAGTCTATGTGGTGACTGCATGAACCTTTCGATGTCCACCAGAACCACCATGATTTGTAGATGCAACGGCAGCGCAGAAGGATTGCCACCGATAGCCGGAGGAGAATGCTGGTCACGAGTTTGAGGGGAAGGTGATCAGGTAATTTGCTTTCGCTTGCTGTGAACTGCCGAGAAAGGAAGAAGAAGGCAACCGTTTACTGGGTGCAGTGTTTAGTGTTTTATTCACGAAGGATAGACTAGTAATTTACCCTTTTATTCACTGTGTTTGAAAAAAACAGTGAATGTCAAACATGTGTACTTTGTGATTTTTTTTTACAACTTATGTATTTTGGGAATTTTTTTTAACTAGTGTACTTTGGGATTTTTTTCAAGAATTGTGTGGGATCAAGAGAGAAAGTATTTTGGCTTTGATTTGATTTGATTTTTAGTTTGTTATGTTTATTGATACTTTACTTTTTTATTATTAATAAAAATTGTTATGGTGACAACATAAAGGGGGTGATGGTGAAACTTTTAGGATTATTTTATGTGAAATTCTAAACGTCCTCAAAAAATCTAAAAGTTATCATCACAACAAAGACAACATTAAAAAAATATAAAGATCTCCCAAATATTCAAATAAATCCTAGATATTAATTTTAATTCAATTACAAAATACAAAAACTTTGTCTGAACAATAGTCAATATTTCTATTTACTATTATATAATTTGATTCCATATCATTCTCATTCAGCTTTGGCATTATTATGGGGTCGTTTGGAGAATATGAGTTTAAATCTATAGATTGTCAACAATCTAAGGATTCTAACTATTCGGATTGTTGAAAATAGATTTTAAAATATTTATTGTTTGGTAATTGTGATTGTTAACATTCAATGAAAATAAAAATAAAACTTTTATATTAAATAACATGTTTATCCTTAATAAATAATTAGAGTGGTTCGATAAATATTAAAAAATTTGTTGATAAATATATTTAATATGATAAATAAATAAAAGAAAGAGAAAAGGTAGGAGGAAAAAATATGACACGAATCAAGATATAGAATTTCTCTGATTATGAGAGATTTGATATCCGTAGATTTTAGAGATTTGAAATCTGTAAAGCTAAAATCCACAATACAAAAAACAACAAAAAACATAAATTTCTACAAAATTTACGAATTCAATTAATACACGCCGCAAATCGCGTTCTCCAAACAACCCTTAAATATTACCAAATATTACGATTAAATTATTCATGTTCGACTTTAAAATATGGTGACAACTGACACGTAAACCCAAATCCATTTTGTGTCATAATACTCCTACACAGGGGCAGACCCAGGGGGTTTTAGGGGTGTCCCCGGACACCCCTAAATTTCGAGAAAATGATTATTCAACCCCCGTTGGTAATTTACGTATAGACAAAAAAATATAATTGATAGTGAGGGATACCCCTGAAATTTGAAAAAATGATTATCCTACTGTCATTTGTGTATAAAAATATAAATGGTAGGTTGGGTAATTCAAATCTAGAACACTATTATTATTAATAAATTTAATTTCCGTTGAGCTACAACTCATTTGGTGTTCGATTTTGAACAATGTGTAATAGTAAAAAGTCATTCCCTATCTCTAATTATTTCAATCTAACCTTAATTTGTATTGATTTTATGATTGTACGACAAGTATTGAAGAGTCTTTCAGCTTTTGGTTACATTAAGAACAAGTTTACAAATCGAATATGCGATAAGTTCCTGAATGATTGTCTAGTAGCCAGTAGGGTATATAGAGAATTTTTTTTTAACACTATAAACACCAAGTGTATTCTACAATTATTTTCGAATATGAAAACATATCATGGACTTTTTTAACCTGTATGAGTAAGGTATTTTCATATTTACGATTTTATTTTTATTTAATTTATTTTTTAAAAGAGGACACCCCTATGAAAAATTTCTGGGATCGCCACTGCTCCTACGTATGACTTGCCTCCCAAGTAATTGGAGCTTCTTAGTATATCCCCTTGGATGCGGCGGTGCAAATGAGAGGCGCCACGTTGGACATACAATAGTCTTCGCCTTGCCAACAAAATACGACTAGTGAATATGCTTGCTTGGAGCCCAATCAATAAGTACTTGCTTATATATACAGTATAATATTTGACCACCTCACAACTTTGCCCGAAAATTACGAAGGAAATGTATTCATTGACTTTAGTGATCTATAAAATAAAATAATTGACCACCTCATAACTTACCAGAAAATACAAAGGGAATGTATTCATTGACTTTACTGATTAATCAATTATATTTTTAAGGAAAGCAGCAGATTTATAAGGCATCGCTAATAATAATCAACGGGTTAATTGTATTGTTGGTCATTGAGATTACAAAAAACGTTCATGTTTGGTCACTGAAAATATTTAAATTCAATTTTGGTCACTCAAATTAGTTAAATGGTTCAAGTTTGGTCATTCTCCGTCCAACTCCGTTAAATATGTCTGATGTGGCAGTCAACCCTCAAAGTTGACAGTGAACTCGATGCCGTGGCAATTAAAAAATAATAAATAAAATAAATTTTAATCTTCTACCATTTCCAACTCATTTTCACAATAAAGTAAAATTAAAAAAATTAAAAAATTTTATTATAATCACAAATTGAAAGAGTAGCTTCCTCTTCCGCCACCATATCCCTTCCCGCAATCCCCTCCGGAAACAGAGAGAAAAAAAAAGATAAAAAATGGCTTCTGGGTTCCCCGGCGGCGGTTCAACTAGCAGTGCCTCGTCTCTCTGATTCTGCACCAGACTGCTGAATGGAAGTTACCGTCGGTGGAATCAGTGGTGGAGTGGACGAGAATCGGGTGAAGAAACGGGAGGAGGAAAATCAGAAACTGGAAACCAGCCATTTTAGCAGTCGGCGGCGATTGCATTGGTCAGAGACGCGGCATGGCGGTTATCGGTGGGAACCACCGGGGAAGAAGGAGGAGGACAGAGAGAGAGAAGGGTAATGGGGGAATTGGGGAATGGGTTGCTTGCTACTGTGCAAATGAATGAGGAGGTGGAGGGAGAAGAGTCAGTAGTTGGATTTGCGGAATATCATCATCGGTCATTAAAGAAATGGCAGACAGGGAGGTGAGGGTGGGTGATGGAAGGGAGAGGACTCAGAGGAGAGAAGATTCCAAATCAACAACTTTCTTTTTCTATAATTGAATTAATTAAGCTGTAAGATGAGAATCTAGTGATGGCCATCTCTAGATTGCAATTTTGCTCCAGTGCCTCGTCTCTCTGTTTCTGCACCGCCGACGATTCCTACTCGGGCGGGGAACCCAAAAGTCATTTTTTATCCTCTTTTTTTCTCTCTGTTTTCGGAGGGGATTGCGGGAAGGGATGTGGTGGCGGAAGAGGAAGCTACTCTTTCAATTTGTGATAATAATAATTTTTATTATTATTTTACTTTATTGTGAAAATGAGTTAGAAATGGTAGAAGATTAAAATTTATTTTATTTATTATTTTTTAATTGCCACGTCACCGAGTTAACGATCAACTTTGAGGTTTGACTGCCACATCAGACATATTTAACAGAGTTGAACGGAGAGTGATCAAATTTGAACCATTTAACTAATTTGAGTGACCAAGATTGGATTTAAATATTTTCAGTGACCAAACATGAACGTTTTTTGTAATTTCAGTGACCAACCATGCAATTAACCCAATAATCAACTAATGATGTAAGATTTTGTAAAAAAAAAAAAAACTAATGATGTAAGATACATGATTTTGAGACCTCATATATTAAAAGTGGTATTTGTAAGAAATCGCGTCAACGTATAATACTTGGTTTGCAAGAGCTGTGATGTTGGATTCCATATTGATGGATGAATTTTTGAATGTCTTTGAGTTAATCCAAATCATTCATCAAAACAAAATAGAACGATTAACAGTAATGTAAAACAATCACTTTGTAATCCTTTCGGTCAACATGCAGCGATGACAATGGGGCGGGGTGAGTACCTCAACACCCATGTCCCACCCCACGCTACTACGAGTAGGGGTGGATAATGGATATGGGGAGGGGCGGGTCGACTCACTCTTACATGTTATTTGAGTAAAATTACGCAAATTTTATTTTTTAACGATAAAAACTCCAAGAAGACACTTTATGAATGAAAAATAGTGATAATAAAATGAATAATTGAGTCTAACAAGTTGAAAGATCGGCGTTAACTAGTTGAAGAAAAGTCAAAATAGAAGAAATATGCATAGATTTTATTAGAAATTGAGGTAGAATGAGCAAAAAACGGGACGGGACAAGACGAGGCAAGACAAATCAGAAGTAGATACCCATGTCCCACCCCATTCTATTGCGGGACAGGTAATACCCACCCTATCGCGAGTCAGATCGGATAATACCCACGAAGCGGTTTCAAATTGCCTTGCAATTCCCAAATTTCATTTTCATATTATGAAGAGTAACTTGCAAGTAAGAAGTAAAGAACCGCAAGCCAAAAGGCCCGACCCATGCATCTGTTTATTTTACTTTATGGGCCCACACCAGACCACTCCGTGCTGCCCAAGCCCACAAACCGAGTTGGCCCAAGAAAGCCAAAACCCTAGATTGGGATTTGGGTGGCGTATATAAATTCTCCGCGAATGCTCGCTCATACCCTCTCGGTTCGCAGCTTCTGTAGAAGGGAGGGAGAGGAAGGAACAAGAAGGCAACCATGGTGTCGCTGAAGCTCCAGAAGAGGCTCGCCTCCAGCGTTCTCAAGTGTGGCAAGGGAAAGGTCTGGCTCGATCCAAATGAGGTCAACGAAATCTCCATGGCTAACTCCCGTATGTTCTTTCTCCCTCCGTTATGTTGTCATTTCTATCCGTGTCGGATTTCTCTGGCTCGATTCCCGTTCAAAAGTTTTGAATACAGGGATAAGATTAGCTAAGTGGTCTGCGGAGTTGGCCTTCATCTTCTTGATTTATGTGTGATTAGGTTTTTGTGTGTGAGAGTGATTGACTGTAGCGATAGCTAGCTTGAGGGGTAGACGGAGCTAGGTGGAGCTCATTTTTGCAAATGTCATGAGTTGCCCAGTTTTTACGACTTCTTCTATCTGTACCAGTATTGTGAAATTTGGGATTATCTCCTTAGCTGTGTAGAATCAGATATTGTAAGCTGTACTTAGTGTGGCAGAAAGACATCACAAAGCTGTAAATGTTGAAGCTTTTTGTTGATTTTTCAATTTTGTATTGAGAATTTAGTCTGATATGATATTCTTTTTACTCTGAACAGTATGAATGACTTCTTGTTCGTTGGGAGAACCCATTAGTCAATTCCTAATGTAGCTATCGAATTGAGCTTGTGGCTGATCGGTGTCTGTGTGTTCCTGTTTGTTATCTGCAGGTCAAAACATCAGGAAGCTTGTCAAGGATGGTTTCATCATCAGGAAGCCAACCAAGATTCACTCCCGCTCTCGCGCACGTCGTATGAAGGAAGCCAAGAGGAAGGGACGTCATTCTGGATATGGTATGAATTTCCTCCATTTGTTATTTTTCTGAAAGGAAGTTATTGTTTTGCTGATATAAAACTTGTAGTACCTGTGAATATATAGTTGCAAATCATTCTTTACTAAGGGGTTTGTTGTTTGAAATGATTTAAGGTAAGCGCAAGGGTACCAGGGAGGCTAGGCTTCCAACTAAGATCCTCTGGATGCGAAGAATGCGTGTTCTTAGGCGCCTCCTCCGCAAGTACAGGGAAGCAAAGAAGATCGACAAGCACATGTACCATGACATGTACATGAAGGTTAAGGGTAATGTCTTCAAGAACAAGAGAGTGCTCATGGAGAGCATCCACAAGTCCAAGGCTGAGAAGGCAAGAGAGAAGACGTTGTCAGATCAGTTTGAGGCCAAGAGGGCAAAGAACAAGGCTAGCAGAGAAAGGAAGTTTGCCAGGAGGGAGGAGCGTTTGGCCCAGGTCAGACATTTACCCCGTGACAACTGTTTTTGTTGGAATCTTGTTAATGTCTTTCATTCTGTAATCCTTTCACAGATAAACTGTATAATTGTCAACTTCTGGTTTTTATATGTTTGTTACTTCCTAAACTGTACAGGGACCAATGGCTATGGAGAAACCGGCTCCTGCACCAGCTGCTGCTGCTGCACCTAAAGCAACTGAGTGAGCATCTGTTAAACGAGTGCTGAATGAAATAGTTATATTTGAATGTGTTTAGACCATGTCAATGATGTTCCATATCCTTTTCCTTCTTGCTGTTGCAGGGTTCCAACTAAGAAATCCAAGAAGTGAGATTCCTGGACAAGTGGATCAAGGTTTTGGGAGTTTTGTTTCATCAAAGTTGTGTCTATTTTGTTTTCCGTAGCAGCAGTGTAGCTCTCACGCCTTGGTTCTTCAAGGCAGTGATGTTATTTTCGTTGGATTATGTTTGTATGGACCATATTATTTGCTACCCTACTAGACTGGTAAAATATATTTGCAGGTTTTACAGATTTATGTAAAATGCTGTTGTTTTGGTCTTGGTCATTTTGTTCTCAGCGATTGATTGGTGACTTGACGATGGTTAGTCATCTTAGTGGAGATGGTTTCTCGATCATCCCTGCGCTACGAATAATAATAGCTCAAATCTTTTCCAAGATAACAACAGTAGTGGTCATCCGCTAGAATTCATGCAAAATATTTGTTGTTAGCATTGGAAATTTCATCATGAATTGTTTTTAAGTTAGTGTTGGAATTTTTTTTTTTAACTGAAAAAAGAAGTTCAGTCAGTTTCTCTGGAATTCTATTGATTCAAATCTACAGGTGGAAGTATTTGTTTTTACTAGAATACATTACAAGCTGGTTTACGAAGAAAACTGAAAGCCAAACTTGTCTACATTTCCCTCTCATTCCAATGAATTACCGTAAGGAATAAGGATTGTCAATCTATTATGGGTTAATTACATGGTTGGTCACTGAGATTACAAAAAACGTTCATGTTTGGTCACTGAAAATATTTAAATTCAATCTTGGTCACTCAAATTAGTTAAATGGTTCAAGTTTGGTCACTCTCCGTCCAACTCCGTTAAATAATGCCTGATGTGGCAGTCAACCCTCAAAGTTGACCGTTAACTCGTTGACGTGGCAATTAAAAAATAATAAATAAAATAAATTTTAATCTTCTACCATTTCCAACTCATTTTCACAATAAAGTAAAATAAACAAAATTATAAATGGCCTCTACCGTTTGGTCACACGCCAAAGATGCTAAAGTCTCTTCAACAAATTCTCATAAAACAGAGGAAACATTTTAGCTACATGCCAAAGATGAAAAACAGAGTCACAGAACAGTTCTGTTGGTGGAAAAAGAAAAACAGGGGAATTCTGTTTCTGCTGTGTGTGAGTGGCAAACAAAAAAAGAAAATGTCAAAGTTCTTCACATAATCTCTGCATATCTCAAGCTTCCCACAAATCTACAAATTATTACCAAAAGAATTCTTCTTTTTTATCAGATTAGCTATGGCCCCTTCTCTTTCGAGAAGAAAGATCGAAGAGAACCCAAAACCAAAAACAAAAAAGGGAAAGGGAAACCAAATCAGTCAAAAAGTAAATAACTTTCCCCTTCCACAGTTCCACTGAAGCTAGCAAAGCAAGCTCTTATTAAGGGCTCTTACAGGCGTAAATCAGCAATGAGAATTCCAGTCTATGCTGTTGCTGCTGCTGAAGCTGTTCTTCCTTTTGCGCTAATTTCTCCTCCAGCCACAGCCTGCTGTCCAGCCCACTCCTCGTCCGGAACACAAACACCGCCGCTGCAGGAGCCGTCGCCGGGTGAAAGAACCAGTCATGTACATCCCACATCAGATCCACAAGCAACCCATCAACGAAAATCGTTTGGTTCCCTCTAAAATTCCACTGCAACCTCTTCACCCTAATCACAACCTTCTTATCGATACAGACGGAGAGAACAGGGTGGTGATGCCTCTGCTTCAGCCCTTCCTTCTCCCCCTCGCCGCCGCTGCATTTAATCAGGATATCGTGCTGGCCGCCGGTCTCGGAGAATCGAGCTTTAGTGGAATACAGAGTGCTCCCGGAGCAATGCTCCTGCCTCGAAATCTAGCTGACTTTGGCGGCGGCCGGCGCCGCCCTCAGCAATTTCTTGGACAGAACGGCGGATTCGTCGGCCAGGTCGCCGAGGACGAGGGCAATTTCGCAATTGCGGCGTGTGACCAAACGGTAGAAGCCATTTATAATAATTTTTTTTAAAATTTTTTTATTTTACTTTGAAAATGAGGTGGAAATGGTAGAAGGTTAAAATTTATTTTATTTATTATTTTTTAATTGCCACGTCACCAAGTTAACGGTCAACTTTGAGGGTTGACTGCCACATCAGACATATTTAACGGAGTTGGACGGAGAGTGACCAAACTTGAACCATTTAACTAATTTAAGTGACCAAGATTGGATTTAAATATTTTCAGTGACCAAACATGAACGTTTTTTGTAATCTCAGTGACCAACCATGCAATTAACTCATCTATTATTTTAGGATTGTGGTTGGGATCAAACTTTGTTCTGTTAGGATTGTTATGGGATTGACAATGTGACGAAATTGCTAGGTTATAAACAAGTGTTACACATAACAACTCTTCACTCAGACTCTATTAATGGTAACCAGAAAATGATTAATGTGGAAGTGAAACCTATTATCTCATACTATTTTCAGGAAACTCAATTTGGATATATGAAAAATGGGCATTGAACGTTTCATAGTTCTTCTTGCCAAATGATCATTAAAGTTAAATTGGATATCAAAGTTGTGGATGCTTAATTATATACATATTTGTATCCTCGTTTCTTAATCATTTGGAGAGCATGTCTTGATAATGCCCTATAATTTGCTCGTTTTACGTTAGGTTGTGTTTTTTTTTGTCATATCTGATACATTGTAGCATTAACATGTCTATGGGTCCGTTATGGGTGAGGAAGTGGGTCATCGTATTATGGTTAGTGGGTGGGGTTATTATTATTATCATGGGTTGATTAGTCAAAATGTAGCGAGCGGTAGAGTCCAAGTAGGAGTGGAGAGGACGATGTAGAGGTGGGAAATGGATTGGAGCCATGGATTGATGGATTGGATTGGTGGATTCATAGATCAAATGTATTGGTGGATTCATGGATTGGATCAAGTGGATTGGTGGATTATCTATGAATCTAAATGACATCCTCAAACAAGGACCATTATGTAAAATGTGAAAAGTTAAGGTACTAAAATGTCGTAATGAAAAAATTTAGGTACCAAAACGTAATTTTCAAATGATATTTTTCATATAAAAATAAAATTTTAGGTACCAAAATGTAAAATATAAAAATTATAGGTACCAAAATGTAATTTGTCATTTGGATTCATGGATTGATCCATAAATCCACCAATCCAATTCGATTTGGATCAAATGGATTGGATTAGGTGGATATTTTTAATGGATTGGTGGATTGGATTGAGAATTGCCACCTCTAGGTCGATGGCCAGGGTTGGGTTGGTTTACGGTTTGCTTCATCATTCAAATTTTGGGTTATAGGTATAATTTGCCCCTCTACTATGATGTTTTATCAAACATGCCCCTCTACTATTTTTTACATCAAATATGCCCCTATACTTTGAAAAAATTATCAAACATGCTCTTCTGTTAAATTTTCCATTGAAAAAATTGTCAATCATGGTTGAGCCGAGATTTAGACGACCCGACATCGACAAATGGGAGGAAAAATGTCAATTTTGCCCCCTGTTTTATTTCCCTGGGTCTTTTCAAAGTGAAATCATTTGAATGATTTGATTATACAAACGAACCAAAAAAATTATAAAGTGAATTTATTAGAGATATTTTAGTCATTTGTGTCTCTCAAACTAAAGTTCGGCCTTGGTTAACGGTTTTTGGATGAAAATTTTAACTAAAGGGCATATTTGATCATTTTTACAAAGTACAGGAGGATGTTTGATGTAAAAAATAGTAAAGGGGCATGTTTGATAAAGCGTTATAGTAGAGGAGCATAGTATACCTATAACCCTAAAAAATTTAATGTACTTTGTTCCTCGATTTTCAATATCAAATAAGAAGTCAAGTATCTAGTAGTAACTTAGTTGTAGATTTATCGTGTTTCTTAGTATTTCATAGAGGCGTTCTATTGGGAAGAATTAGTGCAATCTTTAACTATCCCTAACTGTGTATGTGGTATGTGGTTGTATATAGATATAGAGATAAAATAAGAGAACAAATTTGTGACTATGTTTATAACTGGTTTAAATTATGCTTGTAGAAGGGTAGGGTCCGATTTGTACATGATGATCAGTTACTTCCCATGGAAACATCATTCCACTATTCCATTTAACATAAGAGGCAATTTGTTAAAAAGTAAATTAGGAGTCCCAAGTAGATTCAATAGCATTACTAGCAGTTGCTCAATCTAAGGGAAAGAGACACTAACAGTAATTTGTTATGTAGATACAATAAGAAAGATAACCACGTCATAGCTTATTGCTACAAGATGAAAGGAGGAAAAAGGATTCTTGAACATCTTCTGGTTTTACTGGACAACTCCAAGGTGCTGATGTGAGTGATTGAATTTTTCCAAAACCAAAAGACTAGAGTTGTATCTTAGACCGATGATGATTTTACCAATATAAGACCATTTTCTGATTATCCAATAGTAAATTCAATAGGTAGATACAAGTTAGTAAATCTGGATCATAGAGGTAAACTCATTATGCCTAAATACATCATCATGCATCCTATGGAACTTGTAAATGTTAGTTTCTAGACACTGGTGCTACAGATCATGTCACTTGTTCATTGTCCACTTTTGGTAGATACACCGCATCCATAATGTTTTCATTACTTTACCTAGTGGTTTCAAAACCACTGCTACACATCCTGAAACTGTGAAGTTAGTATATTGATTGATGGCTGATGATGTGTTGTTTGTCCCAACCTTTTCTTTCAACTTAGTGCCAACACTAAGTTTTTACCAATGCCACTTACATTGAAGTCAAAACCATTAATATTCAGGACCTTCTCACTATGAAGAAGATTGATTTTTCCTGAGAGATTCTATGTCGTTACCAGCTTACCAATTGTACAGAAGACCACACTATACATGCCAATTCTCTTAAGACACATAACCTCACATCTTTGATCTTTGGCTCTAAAGACTTGGATACCCCAAACAACATAGAAAAAAAGAGTTCACCAAATGGTGTACCTAATATAGAGATGAAGTTTTGCCAATTTGCTAACAAAAACGCCTTCATTTCCCTTCAAATCAGTATGCTACTCATGATGTTTTTGATTTATTCATGTGCACTTTTGGGGTCCTTGGGCTACCTCTGATTACAATGAATCATTACTTTCTTAACATTGCGAATAATAAATTTAGATGCGTTTGAGTGTATTTAATGAAATTTAAGAGTGAAATTATGAAATTTTTACAAAATTTATGTGCAATGCCTCAAAGGCAGTATGAGAAATTTGTCAAAATAATCAGATATGATCAACGATAGAGATTTCATACTCCAAATTATTATTGTCGACAATAAATTATCCATCAAGTGTCGTGTGTGGAAACTTCACAAAAAAATGATAGTATTAGAAGGAAACATCACAACATCCTAAATCTATTTGGAGCTTTACATTTCCAATCTGGCTTGCCTCTCAAGTTCTAATCAGATTCCATTTGTAGCATAATTGATCAACGTAGGCTTTGAAACTAAACTCCTATGAAATAATTAATGGCAGTCCCTCTGGGTTGCCTCACATTTGTGTCTTGGGTGTTTATTTTATACAAGGTATAATGTAGGACACAATAGGACTAATTTCTTCCCTCTAGAGCATGCCATTGGGTTTTCCCCAAAGATTGTGAAACCGTACCGGAAGTCCTACCGAAAAGGTCAGTGGTTGGGTGTCTTATACTAAAATCTTGGTTTAACTATGGTTCAATAATTTCCTACTTATTAAACTGCTTATTGTTTTGAGTCTGATATACGATATTTTCGGTCCGACCATCAATACGGTAGGGTTTCTCAAACATTGATTTTTTCCACGTTTGCCCTCAAGGTATCAAAGGGTATAAATGACCAAAGTTTTATTCCATAGATTTTATGTTCACATCATTCCAAGTTTATCTTCCTTTCCTCCTCTTTCAATCCCATCCCACTAGTGTCACTGAAAACTCAACCAATTCCATAACCCGACATTAAAATTCCAGACCCTACTACTCCTCTGAAACATTCATCATACCCTACTCCAACCACAACCTTACCACCAACAACATAAACTACCCCCCACAGTCAGTACTCCTCTTTACCAATTGTCCTTCGTAAAGCACCTCGATAACCTATGATTCTAGTTAAAACCGGTGATTATGTTATCATTTGGATATATGAAGTTTTTTGTGCATTTTAGAAGGCAGCCTTAACTTTGTGCTACAAAATCCGAACGTCATAATTTTTTTTTTTGATTCCGCATAACTTTTACTTTTTGAGATCTACAACTTTTCGAGATCTACAACTTTTCCGCGTAACTATCTCAATGATTGTGATGTTGTTGGACAATTGTTCCAGTAAAAAATCATCAATCTAAACCTCTTGGAAATAGAGAGCAATAATGCATGTACTTAACTTCAATTCCTTTTGTCCAAACTGAACATTGGAGGTATATGTGTGTAAACTTGTTACTAAGTGTCAACCCATCGTCAGCACTAGAGAGCTTAGGCACGACTTCGTTTCCATTGGAAGCGACAGAGGAACTGACCGAAAGGCCATAGACACTTTTGGTTTTACTCCACTGGTTGAATGTTTATATTATAGTTTAATTACCATGGTAAAGATTATCTTGCTTTTCACCTCTGTACAGTCAGCAACATTCACCGTAATCTTCTTCCTCTACAATATTTCATAGACTCAGCCATGAATCGATTGCCACTAAGAATTGCTGCATCTTCCTTGTCAACAGTCGAATTCCTGTCAGACAACATTATAATATGTTTTTGAATGGCATTGACCGTAACATATAAATCTATACCAGTTTCGTAAGTCAAGATAGTTCTGCCACTGTACGGTTCTTGATATCTTTCCATGTAAAAGGCCTGGAGAGTGGGCACTTCAAATTCACGTTAGTCATTCATGCTCAAGCAACTGATGTTTTTAGACTACTTTAACAAACTCTGCTGTTTCTACCACAATACGAGATCCCACAATCACAAAATGCGCCAAAGATACACAGGAACAGAAAGTTCACAACTCTACCAAGTACCAAACATCCCAAGTCAGGTGTAGAGAATCTCAGCAACATCATCAAATGGCACCAAATTCCTTGGAAGCCCTATCACTGCCTGAAGTCCACACACTTGCCGATTAAATTCCAACGCAACCTTGACATCAAAATCCTGCTACATTGTGAATATAATGTAACTGTCAAACGCCAGGTAGAAGCGGCACATCATTCAGCTATTATAACCCATAAGATACCTGCATTCATACTATGCAAAGCAACACAAAAAATTGCCGGTGCTCAGTAATGGTATGCACACAATCAATGACAACGAGTTCCACAAGTAACAAAATGCATCCCAAGTCCAAGTGCATCAGCGAATGCCTACTGCAGCCAGGACAACATAACCTAATTCTGATGGTCTCTAAATAGGTGCTACTGCTACATCAAGAAATGGCTCATGTACCACGCAACATAGCTTGTATGCTTATTCTGCATTGTCTCGGTAGTAAAAACTATAAACAAGAATGACAATTACACAAACGAAGAAAGCAATAAGTAAACAAATGCAACAAGCAAATGAACAATCGAGAGTACACGAGATAAACCCACAAGAAGGCACAGAAATCAACCAAGTCAATCCTGGATATAAAACTTATTCTGCTTGCTTACTTTCTGTTGTAACATATGTTCCTATGGGGAACACAATATCAATATTACTGCTCCAACAACTAGGTGTTTTTGAGAGCATATGCAAAGTATTCAAACACAACATAGTGGATCAATCACTTGTCTAGCGGATACCATTGATTCAGATTTGATGTTTTGTCGAAATATGCGGCAAGCTACTAAGACTAAGACGCATGAGTAATTGATTATTAACCCGCAAAACCAACACAACTAACGTAAATCAAAAGAGCAGTACCATGTGAGAAACAATTCCCGAATTCGCAAACACTTACTTACTCCTCATTGCTGTTGATTTTGCTGCTGATTAGGAGGAGGCGGTGGCATGCCAGGGCGTGGTGGTCCAAACACACTACCAGGAGGAGGAGGCATGCCAGGACGCGGTGGAGGTGGAGCTTGCATTCCAGGTCTTGGAGGAGGCGGCCCTCGCATCATGGGCGGACCCTGAGGTGGCGGCATCCCCATCGGTCTCTGGGCGAACTGTGGCGGCATAGGGAACCCCTGCTGCGGTGGCCTCTGAGCAAACTGAGGGGGAACCTGCGGCGGAGGACCACGACCCATGGGCGGTCCCTGTCCCGGGTACTGCACAGGTGGCATCTGGCCCGGTGGCCGGATAACCGGCGGGCCGCCCTGTTGCGGAGGCGGATAACTCATCGGCGGCGCAGACATGTTGGGGACAGGAGGACGCGAGATTTGAGGCTGCATCATTCCAGGAGCAGGACCACCAACTCCGCGAACAGGTCCGGCGAGCCCTGGCTGGGCCTGAATGAGGGGAGCCGTCGGAATACCACGCCCCGCCGCGCGACCAATGCCCGGACCTGGAATCGCACTAGCAGCCACCGACTTAGCGCGCGACTCCTCGGGAGGAGGGGGGCCTTCGACGGTCATGGACACCACTTCCTCGCCTCGGAGCAGGACGAGACCGAGGGTGCGGCGGTCCTCTCGTTCCTCGTTGTTCTTCTTCCCCTTCGCCGGCGGGAGCTTGCGGAACTCCTCGCAGTCGCCCAGGACGAGGTTCATATGGCGGTCGAACGCCATGAACTTACCGACCAGCTGCCGGCCGTCCTGAATCGTGACCCGCATCCGGTAATTGATGTACTGGAGCATCTTCGAGCTCTTTGACATCGACATCTTGGCGATCTAGGATTTTCCTCCGCCACGATTGGACTCACTAAGGTTTCGAAGTATTTCGGCGGTGAATATCGGCGAGATCTGCAAAAATTAGCGGGAATTAGGGTTTAGTAGGAGTCTGGAGCGGACCATGGCTTTCGGGTTTCGACTTTCGAGTGTGGAGGGTCTGATCCAGTGCGCTGTATCTGTATGGATCGGGTCCATTGCTCTTTAAATCCTGACCGTACAGTAAATCGAAACCTTTGTGGTTGGATTTTAATAATAGTTAGTAAAATACGGCAAAAATACGACAATGATACTTTATTTTGACTTAATAGTCTGATTAAAAGGTTCGGCAACAAAAAACATTTTAAATATATGTCAAATAAATTTAAGGTTATAGGTATAATATGCCCATCTACTATGACGTTTTTATCAAACATGCCCCTCTACTATTTTTTACATCAAATATGCTCCTGTACGTTGAAACAATTATCAAACATGCCCTTATGTTAAAATTTTCATTGAAAAAATCGTCAATCGTGGTTGAATTGAGATTTAGACGACCCGACACGGCAAATGGGAGGGAAAATGTCAGTTTTATCCCTGTTTTATTTCCCTAGGTCTTTTCAAAGTGAAATGATTTGAATGATTTGATTATACAAAAGAACCAAAAAAAAATCTAAAGTGAATTTATTAGGGATATTTTAGTAATTTGTGTCGCCCAAACTAAAGTTCGGCCTTGGTTAACGGTTTTTGGATGAAAATTTTAACAAAAGGGCATGTTTGATCATTTTTACAAAGTACAGGGGCATGTTTGATGTAAAAAATAATAGAGGGGCATGTTTGATAAAACGTCATAATAGAGGAGCATATTATACCTATAACCCTAAATTTAATGTGTATAATACGAATTTTCATCATAGATACGTCCAAAAAATATGAGCGTGTAAATATATCAAGCTTCAGAAATTATATATAATAGAGCGGCCACAACTTTAAAATAAAAATAAATGGATTATAAATCCAATCAAAGAAAGCTGGAAAAAAACAAAATTTGTCCGACGAGTTGCACATGCCAAAAGAACTTATTATAGAATATTATGAAACTATGATCTTCTGTTTCAATGAATATATACGTTATATAGGTGGCGTTTTTTTTACTCATTTTTTTGGTGCATTCAATTCACTCACTTCGTAATCATCATTTTAAACATGTGATTTATGTCAAAATGATGTCAATCATCACTTATGGTGTAATGAACAATAACACACATAAATTTGCACAAAAAACCATTACAAATTTACTTAAATGTGAAGGATTTCGAGTTTAGAGATTTAAGGTTAGGGTTTATGATTTGGGGTTTAGGGATAGAACTCAAAACTGGAGGTCTAGGGCTTAGGGTATCCGTTCATAAGTTGTTATCATATGTTATATCATCATATTACACTAATTCTACAAATAAAAATTCAAAATCCAGCACCTTAAAACTAGTTTTTGAGTTGGGTGCATTGAACGCACTCACCATATATATATATCCATGAAACGCTCGATTGCAATAGGATGATAATTTGAACCCGCCCCGCCGGGTATTACCCGACCCGCAGTAGTGTGGGGCGGGGCATGGGTATCAACTTTCGACCTGTTCTGACCCGCCCCGTCCCATTCTTGACCCTTTCTATGTCAATTTCTTACTCCATCCATTCATATATATCCTATTTTGATTTTTCTTCAACTAGTTAAACTTGATCTTTCAACTAAATAGACTCAGTTACCCATTATATTATCACTATTATTCATTCATAAAGTTTTTTCCTTTTCGTTTTATCATTAAAAGTAAAATTTAGTGTGTATTTTTCTCAAATAGCATGTAAGAGTGGGTCGACCCGCCCCGCTCCGCACCCGCGCTGCTATTACCCGCCCCGACCCGTAATAACGCGAGATGGGGCATGGGTATTGAGGTACCCGCCCCGCCCCGACCCATTGCCATCACTAGATTGCAAGCAGAAAAACAAAGAAACTGCCTCAGTAAATTAAGAAGAAAAGAGAATTCGAAAAGTACCTTCAACTTCAAGATTGCAGTTTATGGCTATGAGGCTATCGGCCGGTAATGGTATCAAGTATCTACTTCACTGGGATATGAGCTTGGAATGGAACTTGGAACTAGTAGGTAGCTGGCTCGTATGATTTTCCTGAATGGGTGATGAACTGGCGGCGAAAAGAAAAAGTTGCAGAGGAAACCTAATTTTGTCTGTATGTCAATGTTATTGTTCCGTCGTACGTCAGCTTATATAGGTCGGGTATTCCGTTTAATTGTCGTACATTCGTTGCAATAGTTTGGGCCTTGGGGCTAGAGATGTAAATGAGCCGAGCTGTTCGCGAGCGGCTCGACGTTCGACTCGGGAAAAGCTTGTTCGAAACTCGACTCGTTTACTAATGAGCCGAGCTTGAGCTTAGCCTTCTGAAACTCGTGGAGCTCGCGAGCTAGCTCGACTCGGTGGCTTGTTGAGATCAACTCGTGAGTCGGCTCGTTAAGAGCTCATGAGATGTCTCAACTCTCAAGATTGTGGCTAGAGAGCCAACTCGATTATCGAGTTATGAGCGAATCGATCTATATGACTTTGATTTTTGTTGGGGGTATTATGAACAAGGCCCAATGGGCGGCAACTTGGGCTCCCAAACAGCCCAAATTGGGGGGCAAGGCCCAAGTAAAAGGGAGGTCACATGAAGACAAGTCACTAGAAGCCAAAGGAGGCCAGACTGTCATGTGGTCCAGCGTCTGCGGGCGCCTGTCACGTGCCAGGAGTCTGACAAGGTGGTTGGGATGTCTGGCCAGAAAGGGACAAAAAGCATTGAATGAAGGCAGGGAGGTAGAGAGGATCAACCTCGAACTCTGGTAAGTATAAATAGGGGCAGTTGGTAGCATTTACACAGGTTGGACTCTCTCTCACTAAACTTGGATTTGGAGACACTTTTCTCTTCCACGTAACTAACTTGGGCGTCGGAGGATTAACGGGCCCAGGCACCCCCTCCTTGTTCGTGTGTGCAGATTAGCACCTTGTGAGAGGAGAAATCGGAGGGCCGTACGAGAGTAACGAGTCTCAAACAATTGGCGCGCCAGGTAGGGGAATATAGCCTTGAGTCATGAGTGAAGAGGCGCCAATGAATGAGGAGAGGGAAGAAATTACAGAGGAACAATCGGAGCGAATGAGAGGGCAGACGCCCGAGGAGGAAGAAGGCGAAGGAAGTGAGGGCGTGTTTCGGGGATCCGAGGGCGCCTCAGTAACAAAAAAAGAGTTGTTCCGGATCATCGAGGATCAGGACGAGGCGATCGAGGCGCTGCGGCGTGAAGTGGACGCCTTAAAGAGGAGTGAAGGGATGACGCCCAGCCCGACAAAAAAAAGAGAAAGGATGGAAGAGACGGAGAGTGAATCGGGGTGCCTGAGGCGTCTCGGTCTATGGCGCCCACGTGATCACGGGGCGCCGGACGCTAGCGGGTGGAATGGAGGAATATTGGGGCGCCTGTCACGCCACTGCCCTGTGAGGCAGCCTCTGGCGCGTTGCATATTGTCGGAGCCGGCCGGAATGAACATTCCCCCACTCCCAGCCTATGATGGAACTGGAGACCCCGAGGACCACCTTAACGGATATTTCACCAAAATGCAACTCTATAACAGCACAGACGCCACCCTGTGCAAGGTATTTCCGTCCACCTTTTCGGGCGTAGTTCTCGATTGGTATCATCAGATCGGTGAAGGGCGCATCGACTGCTTCGAACAGTTCGCAGCGATGTTCTTGGCGAAGTTTGCCAGCAGAAAAAGGCGCTCCTTGACCATAGGCGCCCTATTTAAGGTCAAGCAGAAGGAGGGGGAAGCGTTTAGGGAATTTTACGAGAGGTGGCTATCAGTGGCCTTAGCAGTGAAGGATGCCCAGCCATCGGTGCTGGGGGTGTGTCTGAATGAGTGCACCTCCAGTGAGGAGCTATGCTGGGCGCTTGCGAAGAGAGATGTGGTATCAACAGAGGACCTGGATCATAGAGTGCAAAAGGTAATTATGCTGGAAGAGACGTTAGCAGCCAGGAGGGCAGATCGGAGGAAGGCACGAGTGGAGGAGGCCGAGGTGCCAAGGAGGCAGTACCCAACGAGTGGTTCGGGCTATGCGCCCATAAGCCAGCCCCCGCCGAGGAGGAACGATATGGGGCGCCAGGCGCCTAGAGGGGCTGGGCCCTTCGCCGAGTACAACGACACCCTGAAGAACGTGCTTCAGCACGTCAAGGAGAAGGGATACCACATCAGGTGGCCGGGCCCAATGCGGGGGCAACCCAACGAGCGGAATTTGGACCGATACTGCGATTTCCACCGTGAGGTTGGGCACTACACGGCTGATTGCTATCAACTTAAGACAGAGCTGTAGGGCCTTGCGGACAGAGGAATGCTCAATGACTTCATCAAAAAACCCAAGGAAAGAGTACACAGGGCCTGTGTGGCTGGAGTGGTGAAAATAGGGGAGGAGCTGCCACCACCACCCTATGACTTGGACCAAGAGAAGGCGCCTGACCGCGTGCGCCTGACGATCGAAGCCATTTCAGGGACAATGGATTTGAGGGAGAAGATAGAAGCGAAGCGCCGGCTGAGGGCAGCATCGGCGGATGTGCAGGAGTCGATCGACATCAGCTTCAACAAGGCGCCGGAGGAGGCGTGCATGCTCCCGTCCATGGACGCCTTGGAGATACAAGGGGTAGTAGCCGGATGCAGGGTAAGGAGAAGGCTAGTTGATACGGGAAGCTCCATGGATGTGCTGTTCAAGGATACGGTGGTGCGCATGCAACTATCACCAGAGATGATCAGACCATCGGAGTCGGTGCTAGTAGGCTTTTCCGGGGCGCCCGCCAGAGTGATAGGGCGGATATGCCTGCCCGTCACGTTGGGAGATGGGGAGCAAAGGGTGACGCGCGCCATAGACTTCGGGATAGTAGACTGCCTTTCACCGTACAATGCGATTCTTGGAAGGCCACTCCTGGCTTTGTTTAATGGGGTGGCTTCCACTTGTCATCAGACCTTGAAGTTCATCGCCCCGCAAGGGGTGGGCGTGGCCCGAGGACGAGGCGCCCCGCGCTACGCGAAGGAGACGGGGCGCAAGCGAAGACACGTCGAGGCAAGAGTCAACGTGATGGAGGTGGGGGAAGACGAAGCGCC